AGTTACTAATAGTTATAGTTAGTCTGAACCAACCACCATTCTGGGCATTTATCATACATAATTATTTTAACACTTAAGGTCATCCTGTGTCATAGGCAAGGAGGTATCAAAGGAATCGTCTGTAAGAATGTCTTGAGCTGTTGACCCCAACCCTAGCAGATAAGTGGCAGTAATCTTTTATGGATAAGACTCACAGAGAAAAGGCAACTATAGTGCCACAATCTTTCCATTCCTATCAAGAGAGGCTGTTTGGTTGGGTAAGTGTATGAGCTTTAGCATCAGAAACCTGGGTTCAAGTCCTGTCAAAGTGTGTCCCTCTTAGCTTCAGTCTTATTCCAGTCTAATTCCATTCTCTGCCCAACCAAGCCTTTGCTCTCCTTCAGCTACATCCTATTTCACTAGCCCATGCAATTGTAAATCTCTTAGGCCCTGTGACGATTAATACTGCCAAAGTTGACAAGATCTACAATCACCAGACATCGAAACAAGCCTCTAGACACATCTGCGAAGGAACTTCTAGATTAGGTTAATCTGGGCTGCACCTTCCTATGGCCTGGGGTCCCGGACTACATAAAAAGGAGTACGTTGCGCACCAGCGTTCATCACTTCCCGGCTGCAGAGGCAATGCCAACGGCTGCCTCAAGCTCCTGAGACCGGGGCAAATAAACCCAGTTCCTTAAGTGTTTTTGTTATTTGCCTCAGCAACAAGAAAAGTAACTAATATAGACCCTAGTAATCCCACAATCCAACCGTGAAACAGTACATTAAAAAAAAAATATCCCACTATTGGTGAAACTATTAAGGCCACTCCACGTAGTTAAAAGGGAGATTTATTTAATGGCGTAACTTACAAATTAAGGAATAGGTAGGTCATGGAGTCTGGGGAAGGTGTATCACAGTCCAGCGGTGTTCTCTGGAGCTCTGCTCAGTCCACCTCTCCAGTCCAGGGTCCCGCAACAGAGAGAGCGCCCGCCGATCCAGATCTCGGGTCCCCCGGCGCCTCCCTTGGCCCCGCCTTGTAGGCGTGACAGTTGCCGAAGTCTCAATGGGGGTTGGAACTTCCAGATCAAAGCTGGAATGGCTACCCACTACATCTCCCCCTTTTTGTCTAAATAAGAAAGTTCTAACCTAATACAAGACTATATACAAAGGAATGGTTATCAAATATTGTCCAGGAATAATGAGGGATAATGACCTAGATAAGATGGAAGTACAACCAATGCAAACAATATCAAGCAAGAAACACATACTAAAGTCCAGAGAAGTATAGAGCATAGGTAAATGGCATGTTACAAAGATCATTCCAAAAGGTGTCCTATCCTAAAGAACCTGAATCTAATACTTAATATGTTCTATCTACTAAGTTGTAACTATAACTGCTAGTCTTCAATACCATCAAAGACCTGAGAAGGAATATAATGGTACCTGAGAAATGGTACATGGATGCAAACAACTTTCGGGAATCTTGCGAGAGTAGACGGAGACAGCTGGCAGCCTGGACAGTCACCTAATGTTTCTCAGCATTGTTGGTGCATTCAAATTGGCTACAGGCCTAAAGTATCTGACAGACCATTTTCAGAAGCAGGAATTCTGAAAGACCATCTTACCCTGTCTTGGCAGAGTACAGTGGTCGCTTTCCTTGTGTCCCATTTGTCCAGAAAGGATAGCATTACAAAAAAAGAGGTTTCTGGGCTACATGCTGCTTGGATAAAAGCATAGACCCACGATGGCTCCCAGAGCTGGCGGTAAGCATACTGCCGCCATGTTGGGAAGCTGAGGTGGGTGGAGCCAGCAGCCACAGCTGCTGCAGCTTAAAGCAATAGATTCACAATAAGACAGATTCAGATGTAATAGTTTAAAATGTGTGTAAAATATACGTAGGCTTAAAAGAGACAAAAAAAGGTGATATATACAGTATAGAAACAAATACATGGTTTTAAAAAATAAAGTCTTTAAAGAGACAGTAAAATTAATATAAAAAATAAGCCACGTAGAGATGACTATTACACAGAGAATCTGGATTGTGTTGTCTTTGGGATTCTTAACTACAGAGAGATATTTGATTGTAAAGGAAGCTGAGTTAAACCAGTATGTATATTTTAAAGATACTTTGACTTCAAAATTTGGATGTAAGGATATGTTGCTTTGGAAAAGAGTCTCTTTTGTTTCCACAGAAAGCCAGAGGCTATGGATTTGCTCAAGATTAAGACACATCAGGTTTGACCAGCCAAGACCACCTGAAAGGTCTCCGATGACACCATGGCCCAGATGATCCAACATCCAGAACCGTTTCAAGGCAACTGGCTCAGATGATACAGCCTCACGGACTACTCCATGATCCTAAAATTTTCTTTGTTTCCCCAGAAGATACAGCGCCCCCCTCCAGCAGGAAGTAGTAAGAGAAGCTACGCCCAAATTCCCAAATATACCAAGCTGACTTTGGAGATGTGTAAAGGTTAAAACCTTCCTTTTTAAGAAAAGAAAAGGGGAGGTGCTGTGGGATGGTCTGTATGTCAAATGTGTTACTGATTGGTCAATGAATAAATCACTGATTGGCAGTGGCCAGGCAGGAAGTATAGGCGGGACTAACAGAGAGGAGAATTGAGGGAACAGGAAGCTGGGTGGGGGAGACACTGCGAGCCGCCATCAGGACAAGGAAGATGTAAAGTACCGGTAAGCCACAAGCCACGTGGCAAGGTATAGATTAATAGAAATGGATTAATTTAAGCTGTAAGAACAGTTAGCAAGAAGCCTGCCATGGCCATACAGTTTGTAACCAATATAAGTCTCTGGGTTTACTTGATCGGGTTTGAGCGGCTTGGGACTGGCGGGTGAGAGAGATTTGCCCTGACTGTGGGCCAGGCAGAAAAACTCTAGCAACATCCCACTGGGCAGTGGTGGTGCACGCCTTTAATCCCAGCACTTGGGAGGCAGAGCCAGGCGGATCTCTGTGAGTTCAAGGCCAGCCTGGGCTACAGAGCGAGATCCAGGACAGGCACCAAAACTACACAGAAAATCCCTCTCAAAAAAAAAAAAAAAAAAAATCTGACAGAGAAATGTCTTCACCTCAAGATTCTGAATGTTCCTGACATTCAAGTACTCAATGTATTTCCCAAACTTCTCTTGAATCTTGCGTCCCTCTTAATGGCAGAAGTGGGCACTACACAAAGATTGGGTATGTCCTAGCTATTGCACGTTGTATTACACACCTCCAAAGTTAGGACTCAAATTAGCGCTATGGCCTTGCCACTCAACTGTTCTCGCTTTTCATCGATGTATTTCATGCCAAAAAATAAAAAATAAAAAAAAAATCAAAGACACAAATGTATGGTCATATCCCAAATGAAGCTTCCAGTCTAACTGGAGAGGTCCTACTACCACTAAAGAGAAAATTTCAACTCTGAAGAATTCAACTCTGAAAAAACCCACAGATGAATGCATCTGTCAGAAAACATGACCATGGCAAACGGGACTGGAGGTCCTGGGCACTATAAAAGGTCAACTCCATGGCTCTTCTCCGTGGATTTCCAATAAATGTTTATGGAATGCGTAATCATCACTGAGAAAGCACTCAGTAGTAAACAGCGGGGATCTCACAAATGAGGTGGGAGAGGAAGGTAACTACACTAACATACCAAAAGCTCCAGCCAGTATGAGAACTTTTTTGGCAACAATGGGGACCCTTTCACAGGGTCACCTAAGACCGTCAGAAAACACAGATACTTACATTGCAACTCATAACAGTAGCACAATTAGTAATGAAGTAGCAATGAAAAGAATTTTATGGTTGGGGGGGTCACCACATTAAGGTTGAGAACCACTGTCCTGGAGTAAACAAATTACATTTTGTAGATATATGTAGCCACTCTAATCTGTCTCCCCCTAACCAGCTTCACTGTTAGGTCATCCATTCAATTCCTGTTTTCTTGTTATTAACACCTTGATTTTTCCCGTGTCATTTTACATTTCATGGAATTCCTCACTCACTTGAAACTTACAGCCCCTCTTCCATCAGGCATATCTTCCTTACCTACTGCTCAAACCCTGAGCTCTACAAAGCCTTCCTATTCATTTCCAGGTCCTTCCTTGAGGCCTCTAATCCTTTGTCCATTGTCTTCCTGGTACTCGGCATGTTTTGGTGTGATGTACCCATTTTCTGTAACTGTGTGGCTCACTATGACAGAGTCTACAAGTCTATCTTTCCTTATATGACACTAGCATTCAACACAAAACAGAAAATCAGTTTACTGTTTGCTAAATGCGTGAATTTTATTGCATATTTCCTTATTCATGCACCACTCAGCAACATAATAAATGACAAACCAATTCAGGAAAAACTTAATTTTGCAGAAATCCTTGCCATTTAGCCTTTCCTGGTCCTTACCTTGCCAACACCTATAGTTCAATAATACTGTGGAAAACTCCTTTAAGGGGTTTAGCTAATGAAACCTAAGTAACACAATTTAGTAATTAGCATTAAGAGGAAAAGCTCAAACAGTTGGGAAGTGTATGCAAAAAGCAAACTACTGACTGTTGCTCAAACACGTTGTGCAAGGAGTGGACAGGAGCTGATGGAGCTCCACTTGCTGTTAAAGGCACAAGTGGTGAGGTGACTGACACTGTTTGGAAGGTCAAGAAATCGCATCTAATTTCCTCTAGGAACATTACTTTCTATTTGGGTTGATCTGGACCACTGAGGTTGTGTTGAGACCTAATCTTCAGCAGGCAACTTGACATGACATAACAAAAACTTAATAAAAACACATGGAGGATCCCCCACCCCAGATCATTCTCTTAGACCTTACACAAAGTAGCTTTGTGATCTTGGGCACTTCTTATGTTTTTATTTCAATATATTTGTTTGGTTAATATTGCACAGATGTGTTTTTGTCACAAATTAATTTCTTTGAAGGTAGCAATGTAGATACAAAACTCTTTTACTATTATTTATAACACTCAAGAATTTTGTGTGTGTGTGTGTGTGTGTGTGTGTGTGTGTGTGTGTGTGTGTGTGTGTGTAAGGGTGTCAAACTGATGAACCCAAATAGAACCATTTGCTAGAAACATGGGCGTTAGTAACAGTTATAAAACAGAGTTGGATGCTTATAATCTCAACACTTGGGAAATGGCAGTGGGAGGATTGCAAGTTCAAAGCCAGCCTGGGCTACCAGTAAAACCTATTTCAGAAAACAAAAACAACAAAACTCCATACACAAACAGTATGAATGTGTTTGATGACTGGATCAGAGAGGAAGCACCCTGGCCTTGTTAGACCTCCAACTACTTGGGAACATCATCAGATCTCTGTAACCACCTGAGAACCACAGCCACATTCTAGTCTGTGGTGAGAAAGCATTGTGTGTACATGGAGGACCTTACCTCAGGCTTTCCCTCCTCTATCCAGAGTCCATGTGCTCTCAGTGAAGGGCTTCTGGGGCTCTTTTGAGAAATGCCTTTGTCACTAGCTAGTCAAAGGATGGTTTGGCTTCTGGGCTTTTACTGGAATATTGTGTGCTAGATATCTGTAGTTCTATTTCAAGCCACCTTGTGAACATTGGGTGTTATGAGCATCCTGTTCTCACGCTGCAGAAAACATAGAGCATGGAAGGCAGACAGACAGAAGGACATTTGTGGCCATGCAGGAGTTTCAGGGTAACCCCAGGCCCTGCTCTAGAAGTATGGCCAGTTCTAGGCAGCTTCAGCATGCTCACTTTCTAGGCATGTTAGGTCCCTGGCTTCTGTGTGCGAGGTAGGATAGTTAAGCCAACAGAAGACACAAAATTGAGATGGGAAAAGAGCAGGTCACAAAGGTATGGGAAATGGCCTGTGGTTTTTCTTATTTGATGTGCAATTCTTTGGTGGCAAATCCAAAAGCAGATGTTCAGAAACAGCCTAAGTGTCCCCAGCACCCTACTATGTGTGCATGGCTTCCCAGATGTTCAGAAACAGCCTAAGTGTCCCCAGCACCCTACCGTGTGTGCATGGCTTCCCAGGGGCATCATGTAAAGGGTGATGATTAATTTATTCTAAAAGCTATGAGAGATTTGTCTTAAAAAAAAGTACTAATGATTGTTTTTAATTATATAAAACACGTTAAACAATGATCATAATCTATGATAGAAACCAGTGTAGAGGGTGGGGCAGGATAGTGGCGCTCTTCATTTTATACTTGAGGAACAGTACAGGGCTGTGTCCTGCCATGGCCACAATTAAAAGCAGGCTGTGGACACCTGATGAGGCACCAGAAGACAAAGAAGCAAATGACCAGCATGGGTTGTTCACAGCTGGCCTTGTAGGCTTCAGGAGAGGTGGCAGAGCATAACTAAGAGAGACTGAGCATCAACACACACCCGGTCCCATCCTAGCTTCCTCTGGAATTGAATGACTCTACACGTTACTCAATTCCTCTGAGGCCCAGTTACCCTCTCCATAAATGCCTGGTAAAGTGCCTGGCTAACTGCTTGGGAAACACCAGTTCTTCTGTAGGGAAGGATGTTTTCTGAAAACTGCAGGTAGCAATTGGTTTAGTAGATTGAAATTAGTATGTTGAAAAACAAAACATCGAAATGTATTGCACATAATGATAAACATTTTTCATGTATATATGTTCAATTTTAATATTTTTTTTTTACTGCGTGTTACACCAAAATTTCAGAGAAATTCTCCGATTGTAACATCAAAAAGTCTTTAGAAGTGCTGCCATTACTGAAATGAGTCTTAACAATTTTTATGAGCTTAATTAAAGTGGTCCTTTTTAACTGGTTGAAATAAAAATAAGACATAAATCATAGAGAAGATAAATTTAACTTGACACTATGGGGCATATTAAGTCCAATTTTAAGATCACTTCTGTGTCATATTGACTAATTTATACTTTTAAGTACTTTATATCATTTATAGTTGATTAAACACTTCTAAGCAATTTCCACAAAAAGTTAGCTATTAGGTTCAATTGTAGGGAAATGAGGTACAATTTCTAAGTAACTTTAAAGTATAAAAATTTAAGAAGACTGGAACTTCCTTAAGCATTTAGACGGCTAGAGTCAAAAGCCCAGTACTGACAGTTCATGATCATGTCAACAGTTCCCACATTGGCTCAGTAAAAGTGCAAAGTCCCGAAGACGTGGGTTTCAAATGCAAGCCTCATCCTGGCTCTTCTGGGTCCTTTGTGCTGTGGCTCTTATGGCACATTGACTGAGTGGCCCTCTGGGGACTGGCGGGATGAGTACTAAGCCATGAGGAAGATGAGGTGAACGTGGGAGATTAAACAATGAAACAACATTGCTATTCTTATAATTCCAGCGAAGCAGGCTGGACTGGCTATATCAGAATTACCCGTGATGGAGGTTCCAGAATCTTGTTTTAGTCAGGCGGTGGCAACGTGTGCCTTTAATCCCAGCCCTCCAAGGCATAGGCAGGTGCATCTCTGAGTTCAAGGCCAACCTGATCTATAGAGTGAGTTCCAAGACAGCCAGGGCTAACATAGGAGAAACCATCTTGAAAAACAAAATTTAAAAAGCATCTTGTTTTAAATAAAATCTGGATGAGTTCTGCCTCCTGCTCAGGTTTGACATGCCCACCTTAAAGGAGCAGCAAGAAACAGAGAACAAAGGATGAAGTTAAAAACATTACTCCAAATACTTAGTTCCCAGTGTCAGTGACTCAGAATCTGACACTCAAGTACTTCCTTTTTTGGGGGAGGGGGATATTAAAGTCTTAAGTCAGCAGATAACAAATACTTGATACCTCCTAATAGTTTAATATGATGTAGTGCTTCGTTCCATAGGAATGAATGCATCAGTAAGACTCAAAAGCATCAAAGGGAAAGATCTTGCAACACAGAAGGAAAAGTAGCAATCAATCAATCAATAGAGGTCAAACATCAACAACACTTTTTTGTTTTTGTTTTTGTTTTTGTTTTTTGAGATGGTTTCTCTGTAGCTTTGAGGCCTGTCCTGGAATTCACTCTGTAGACCAGGCTGGCCTTGAACTCAAAGAGATCTGCCTGCCCTTGCCTCCCGAGTGCTGGGATTAAAGGCGTGCACCACCACGGCCTGACTCAACACAGCTCTTAAAAGAATAAACCCGCCGGGCGGTGATGGCGCACGCCTTTAATCCCAGCACTCGGGAGGCAGAGCCAGGCGGATCTCTGTGAGTTCGAGGCCAGCCTGGGCTACCAAGTGAGTCCCAGGAAAGGCGCAAAACTACACAGAGAAACCCTGTCTCGAAAAACCAAAAAAAAAAAAAAAAAAAAAAAAAAAGAATAAACCCTTTGGTCCTTGAACCCATGCTCCTGGCTGACTGTGCTTTCTCCTCAGGGGAGATTGAAGAATAAGGCGGCCAGTGGCTCCTTCCTGATAGGATGAGTTAGGATGCAGGGTGAGGCTGCCTGCAGTCTTAAATTCCTTTTCTCTAAATTTCAAACCTTTATGTTTGAGACAGACATGGAGCTGGACTGGCCTGTGGCCGCTGCCCATGTTATCTGTTGGGTTAGCACCACAGATCTTTCACTGGGTCTGAATCTTGGCCGTTTAGAACATGAGAGAAGTTATGTGTGAACACTGGGAGAGTGGCAGAGAAAACTGAAGGACAGGAAAGAGCCTGAGAAAGGGCAGCAGTGGTAACAGAAGTGAGGTAGAAAGCTCCTTCTCAACCTCGCTACAAGACTGAGGGCCAGACCCCTCGAGGCAGGTATGTCAGCCCCTTCAAGTTCTAAAGTGCCCCATGATGTGACCTTGTACTCCCCTTTGCCCAAAAAATGTTGGGAATGTTTAAATTTTTGTTTTTCAACTTAAGAGATTACAGGTAGGGGTAACTAGAGATGGGAAATGGTATAAAAAGGCAGATTATGAGAAAAATCCTCACAAGATGGTAGAATTCACCCCAGAAGCAGAGAACCTTCAGAATCACCTGCTTCAGAATCACCAGCTGCAAGTGGGTTTGTGGCTGGGTCAGCAGATCCAGCACACGAGCTTCTGTGCACCTTAGCTGGAAAGGCAGGGAAGATTTCAGAAAAGATGTCACCCATGTCACAATGAAGAGATTGTCAAGAGAAAGTGGGCATCTCTGTCCATTTTATAGTGTTAGTTTCCTTCACCAGAAAACATAGATGGATCCAAGCACAGAAGTAGTTCACCCGGGCCCCTTGGTAGCAGCAACATCCCTATCTGACAGAAAGACTCCAGAACTCACATTCCGTTCCTTCTCTGTAGGGGAAATAATCTACACACACACTGACCCTCGTGTGCCCGACACATTTCACACATCTTAGATCCTTAGAGTTAGAGGTTCAGTTTTCACATTTCCAGGCAGAACATTTTCTCTTTGGCAGTCTTTAAACTGACCCGATAGACATCACATACTCTCAAGCCCAGGCTCCTCTAACATCTCCATTAACAGCCAGCAAACAAATACATCCGGTTATGGTGGTTCAGTACCACATGGACATGAAGAGCCACTCCCCAATACTGTGTTCCAACAGCTGAGCATTCAACAGCAGCAAGGTGCTCCTTAGGATGGATGCATTGGCACCAGCTGGAAGTGTGGGCTTTAACTGCATTTTTTGTCACTTTGGCTAGGGAGATCTGGACAGCTGGAAGTGAGCTTCTCCATCATTTTCTGTTTCCTTCTTTGTATCAATTTTCCACCTGTGAAGCCCAATACCCCACCACCAAGTGCAGCTGCAATTCCTGCCACTTTGAAGCCTGCGAGGAGGCCGATGGGACCCCCCACCACTCCTCCGATGAGTGCACCTGCCACAGGCAGGGCTGCCAGCTTGTACTTTGCAGCCTGTAAAAGAAAAAAAATTCAATTTAGAAATTGAGTTGAGAAAATCTGCCTGTGGTGATGTGCGTTTTCCTCTCATTACTCCTGGCAATGCCTCTTTAACTCTGGGTTCATAATTAACCTCAGAGATTATTCTTGGGAATGTGTGTGTGAAAGTATTCCACAGGTACTGCCATTGCTCCAGACCACAGAACAAAGGGAGGTTGCTCCAGAATGGACAGCTACAAATTGATTTTACTTGCAAAACAATCAATCCACTATCTGGCTGGCTTATTTAAACAGTTTCAGCAGCCACGGGCTCCCACCAAAGCTTTGATTTAGCACAGGAGTTATTCTACACTAGGCACCTGGGCTGAAAATCACATCATACGGATAAGAGATGGTCACACTCCTGAGTGCTGCTGCTGCAGTCTCACTTCTGCTCTGCCTGGATTAATGGACTGCTCTCTCTTCTCCCTAGGCCTCCGCAGATATTCCTTCACAACAACTAAATGCCCTAGAGTGAGACCACAGTTCATTCTCTTTGGGGAAAAAAAAAATCTCTCATGACAGAATGAATCTGGGAGTAGAATATTACAGCCATTGATTTCTTACACTACCTATGTGTCATTTCTTCCTTATTTCCTTAATTGCTGGTTCCCTCAGCACTGAAGAGAGCGGATCAATTGGGTTAATACTGGAGATTCCTGGGAGCCAGAGTACCATTGATTTGTCAGCAGGAGCAGAATCTTACCTTCCCCAAGTTTCTGGTTCCCTCTTCAACATTCACAGCAGCACTGTTGACATGGTCTGCAATGCTGTCAATCTTCTCCTGCTGAGACTGGATGCAAAGGAATTATGAGTGAGCGGTCCTGCTGGGGAGCAGTGGGAAGCCAACACACACTATTTTAATTCCTGTAATCAGGCCCGGGGTACTGCAGCCTTGCAGTCTTAATAGTGGTTCATTAATAGCATCTGATAAACCATGTAGAAAGTACAAATTCACTTTCACGAAAAAAGAGGGGGACTTAATGATTGGGTAATAAAAGGGTGGTACCTTCATAGCAAAAAGCACCTCACACTAGAATTCATTCAAACATACAAACATATTATTCTCCAAATGAACCTACTTTGTAGGAGGAAAAAAAATTAAAATAAGCATTTACATGTCATGTTGGGTTTGATAGCAAAAAAAGGAAAACAAATTCAAACAAAGTCCATAACTTACCTTCTTTGGAGATTTTCTTTAAATCAAATTTACAGTAAAATGTCACTGATCTAACAAATAAAAATTGTTCTTTTGTCTGAATGGGACTACAATGCGGTGTAATCCAGCATGAAATCTTTGCACTTTGGATGTGCAATGGGGAGAAATGAAAGAATCTGTTGTCTTGAGTTTTACACCTTTTTACCCCACACTATATAGTCCAAATTAGGACAGTTCAGATCAACAATATTAATATAGTAGTCTACCCCAAACAGCAACACCTGTTGTGACGCAGCAGCAGCAGCAGCAGGGATCGTGACTCCGGGGATCCCTGATGGATGAATGGTGGAGCTGGAGACTGCCATCTCCTCTCTAACGTGTGAAACCACCTCAGTGTCACGAGTGGCTACTGAGCTCTGCTCTGACACCTCAGTGTCACTCACGAGTGGCTACTGAGCTCTGTTCTGACACCTCAGGCACAAGCACTCTGTCCTTACCCTGGAACCAGGATCTCATTAAGATCAACTTTATTTAGTTTTTTGTAGGTATATATGTGTACCCATATAGATGTGTGTATATATACATTATATATAGTTAGTTATTAGATAGATAGTTATATACCATAATATACGACCATGTTGGTGGTGAAGTAGGATAGGTCCTAACCAATGTAGAAACCCATGTGATCACTATGACCATCAGGGCACAGGCAATTTCTTTCACTTCTTTGCAGAAAAACATAGAAGAACTTCTCTTTCATTTCACATAATGCCCCTTATACAGTGATTCAACTGTCTTCTACGCTAAACCTATTTAGACTGAGGCGCATGTAACTAAAGCTTCCAATTCCAATCAGCATTTCATGTGAGAACATAAGCGCAACCCAGCTCACAAGCCCCCAGCTGTTTCCTATTAGCATTATTGATAGTCTTTCCTTGCCAGGCCTTTTGTGGTGGCCCTTCATTCCAGGATTCTCCACCACCATCTTGACATCCCTAACAATTCCTAAAGTAGTCTTTTTTTCAATTTTCTTTTGAATCTGTCACACAAGTGTAACCAAGGCTCTCAAACTTGAGTACAAACTAGATCACCTACAAAGTTTCTGGAAACAAATTGCTGAGGCCTAGCGGTGATATATTTGTAATCTAAGAAATAAAGCTTGCCTGAAGGTCAGAGGACAGAGCCAGCCACAGAGTTAGCCACAGAGGGCAGGCAGTGGGGGCACACTTTTAATCCTAGCACTCGGGAGGTAGAGGCAGAGATCTGTCTGGATTTCTGTGAATTCAAGGCTACACTGGGCTACAAGAGATTAATCCCGTCTAAAAGAGAAACAGCCAGGCAGTGGTGCCACACACCTTTAATTCCAGCACTTGGGGTCACACACCTTTAATCCTAGCACTAGGAAGACTGAGACAGGAAGTGATATGGCTGGGCAAAGAAAGGAATATAAGGCGGGAGGAGACAGGAATTTGCATCCTTGCAGAGGCTCTGTCAGGCTGAGGAGTTGGTGAGGTAAGAGGTGGTAGCTGTGGCTGCTCTGTTTCTCTGATCTTTCAGCTTTCACCCTGAGTTTAGCTCTGGGTTTTTATTATAAGACCATTTAGGATTCATGCAACAGGCTCTGCCACAGGCTGACAGTCCTGAAATACAGTCTGAGAAGGTGTGTGTGTGTGTGTGTGTGTGTGTGTGTGTGTGTGTGTGTGTGTGTGTGTGTAGTACACACGTGCGCACGCACGCACGCACACACGCACGCACTACATTAGTGAGTATCAGATCTCTTGGAGCTGGAGTTATAGGAGGTTGTGAGCCACCTGCTTTGGGTGCTGGGGACCGAACTCAGGTCCTCTGCAAGAGCAGTGAATGCTCTTAAGTGCTGAGTCATCTTTGCAGCCTCTCATTTCACACACTTTGAAGGTCACTATTGTCCATGATAAGACTGGCACAAAAACTAGGAGAGGATATTCTGTGTTCAAATCCCAGTACTGCCCTGGTATGTTCTTGGGCCAAGTACTCTCATCTGCTATATGAGAGTAAGGGTATTTCTACTTCATTGTGTTAAAAGGAGGATACAATGAGATGTCTGCAAAGCACAATGGGAAAACAGAAACACTCATCCTGGTTTTCCCAAAGAAGTGCTAACTCTCATCTTTCCAGCAAAACAATTTAGTGAGCTTGTTCCTAGTGATGGTATTCTCAGATAACAGGTCTCCTCCTGGATTTTCATTTTTACAACAGCAAAGCTCCTTTCGGTCAGCTTTCTTCTTAGCCACAGAAACAAGTGCCAGCTCCAGTAATATCCTACTTGCCTATATTCCTGACAGTACTTCTGTTTGCCTCCACTCTTGCCTCAAACAATCTGTGCTGGCAGAGGAGCCACTGCAGTAAAAGCCTGTCACCAACTTTCCATCTTTACAGGCTAAGGTAGAGGGTAACGAGCTCCTCTCCCTGTGGGAGGAGTTGGCTAGGGCTATCGCTATGTCCACACTCCAAGAGATCACAGACCTCAGGAAGATATATTTTCTGTGCCCCTTCCTAAAACTTAGGATACTGCAACACTATGGCTGTCTTAGTAACTGTTCTGTTGCTGTGAAGAGACCCCATGACCAAGGCAACTCTTATACAGGAAAGTATTTAACTGGGGACTTGCTTACAGTTTCAGGGGCTTAGTCCGCCATCATCACGGCAAGGAGCACAGTGACAGGACCTTAGTGGCACCCATGGTGCTGGAGAAGTAGCTAAGAGCTACATCCTGATCAGTAGATCAAGAGACAGAGAATGGGCCTGGCATGGGCCTTTGACACCTTAAAGCCCAGCCCCAGTGACAAACTTCCTCCAACAAGGCCATACCTTCTAATCCTTTCAAAGAGTTCTACTCTCTGGTAACTAAACATTCAAATAAATGAGCCTACTGGGGCCCTTCTCATTCAAACCATCACAATGACTTTTTTAAGTTTAAAGTAGAATATTAAGATAACTAAATTTTCCCTACAAAAATCCTTTGGAATAATTGGAGAAAAGACTACCAGGAAAATGCCTACCCTATGATTACTCATTATTTCAACTGTAATGCATTGATCAGTGCAACTACCAGCCCAAAATGAGTCCATCTGTCCTGTGGTTGTAGCCCACATCCGTAGGTACTACAGACCTTGGGAAGCTTGTTTAGACATGGGATAGGAGAAGCCAGAGGGCAGAAAGCCCTACCCTGGGATCAACAGATATCTCTCAATTATACAGACCTAGCTGCTTCTTCCTTTAGTTTGGCTTCAATCCCCCAACTGTCTATATCTTTAGATTCTACTTCATGCATAAGAAGGACTTGATGATATCCACAATGATTGTAGTTAGCTGTCAATCACAATCAGGAGAATGCCTAACTACACTGCATTTAGAGCCAAGTTCTTAGCTCTGTATGCTGGACCAAGCTGCACATATATAACATTACCACAGTCTGCGAAACCAAGCTTCTCCCAACAGTGGTGGCTCAGGGCCTCTGCTTCTATCTACTTACTTTCCCTGTTTGCTTCTGATTCTGTCTTCATCTACCCAGATTTCTCACACTGGACAGTCTTCAACCCTCATACCCAGCCTTGCATTTTACTCTTTGGCACTTAGAAGTGTTCTCAGCATTCCTTTAACAATGAACTAAGTCATTTGTAAGGCACACTTTAAGGACTATTCAATTAGGTTGCCCTATTGGCCTGAAAATAGTTAAATCTGTATAAACAGTTATAGGGGCACCTAAGATTCAGGAGAAAATGTGAATTATTAAGTTAATACTTATTGAGAAGAATGCAACTTGGGTAGATGAATTAAAAACTAATGAGGAATTATTTTTTCCCTTAAATGCTTGCTGTGGGCACTTGTCAACCCAACATGAAATAATAGTTCATGTTATCATATCAAAAATAATAGTTCATGCAACAAATTCACCCTCAAATCAATTTACAACAACAACAAAGCTCTTCCCTGGAGAGGTTGTTGTATAGTCTTATTAGTGTGCTAATAAGACTCTACAATTAGAGAGCTGTGAGTTTACGACAAAGCCCAAACTGTGGCTAGTTCCCTTTCTTCCTCCCTAAGGTCCAGCCTTAATCATATGCAATCACACCAACAGAAAAGCCCAGAAAGAACTAGAGATGTGCCACACAGGCAGAGAATGGTTATTTTGGCCTAGCAAAGGCAATAAGCAGGGTGGAGAAGCAGGAACACTGCAGTGGGGGGACTGAAGGACACTGATGGCAAAGGTAAGAGGTAATGTAAAGATGGCTACAGAACAGCTGAAGCAGAGGGGGCAGAGGATGAAGGATACTGTCTGACGTAGAGCGGGCAGAGGATGAAGGATGCTGTCTGACGCAGAGGGGGCAGAGGATGAAGGATGCTGTCTGAAGTAGTCCTCTCATCAGGTTTGCAGAACCTGCTGTCAAATAACATGCTAAAGCTCACAGAGGCCATGCATGGATAAATCTAACTGAATCCACTGCAGCCTATTCTAATGCATCCAGAACAAAATTGGATTCCAAAAGCCACAGAGAAAAAGGTAGAAGACAGAAATCAAAACAGACCCAGCAGTAAGCATAGCATGTTGTCCAACTTTTGGCTCAGAGTTCTTTAAATTCTTCTTGACTAGAAAGAAATGGATCAGGTCACAAGAAAGGGGCACTTGTACAAACAGAGCAGGGGCCTGTAGATATTAATACACTTAAGAGCTACTGGGCCATATTGTCATCTCTCATTATCTTTGTGAATCCTGTTTTAAAGTAAACTATGTATACAACTAATATTCTAATGACTTCCAAGTATACACCTTTGGGGCATTTCATTCACAACGTAGAGGCATTATCAGCCTTCTGAGTGTAGCACAGATGTGCATACAGAGACAGTTCCTTGACTGCATGGCTGCCCAGATACAATAACATCCATGTGACAACAGCAGAGGATGTGGTCACTCCTGCGTTCCTTGCTTACTCTGTACCTAAATGGAGCTTCTGTGAATCCTTGGCCATGTGTCATAAGAACTCAATCATCCTAGGAATAACAGTCAAGGCTCTCTTTGAGCTTCTGCCAAACAGCATTGTGCCTCATGTCCTTGCAGAGCCGATTATAACTAGGACATTTGTATGGAGCTGTGAGTGTGGCCAGAACCTTCCTGTATAAGTGCTTCTTAGACTGGTGTTTCAACCTGCTTACTCTATAACATAACTGAACACACAACTGCCAATTCTCCACAAACTTTATTTTCTTTCAAATGCCTACCCACCGGAAGAGAAATGCATTTGTCTTGAGGAGAGCTAAGTATATCTTTAGTCTGTTTTTTTAAATCAACTTTAGTGATGTATACTTGTATTGAAACACATTTAAGTGTGCAGATTGATGGCTTTGGTGAGTGCATATATTTATGTAACCATGCATATGAAGACTTTATGAACTGCATTAGAGTGGGAGATTAGTAATTACAATAACTGGATAGATCTTGATTTTAAACAACACATGTGTTTGGAGACTCTTGTATCATTCCCTACCATTGTTAAAATAATAACAGGTCATAAAGACAGCTGGTCTAGAGACTTCTAATATTTTCTTCTTTTGACTTAGAGGCATCAGAAATAATTCAAACAATTTACTGCTTTCAATTTTAGTCATTACCATTCAAGAAAATATCCATAAGCTAGAACATAAGAAGAACAGGCTAATACCAGATGGTCTAGAACTCATTGGTACAGGAGAGCTACAAATGGAGAAAGTTTCTAAGAAGTGAAAATGTGTTTGGGTAGGTCAAAGAAACAAGAACATTTCTCTCAAAACCTTGAAACCCTCTATAATGAAAGAAGACAAACTCTTCCACAGGTGGCTCTAGAGGACAAATGTGCCCAAAAGAAATTACATGACAGAAGTTACACAAGGAAGAGCTTCTACCCTCTCCAACAACTTTCAAAAGAATGGCTGAGCATCCATAACTGTTAAAGAGACAGAAGGTCAGTGGTCTGAGAAGCTTGGGCAAAGTACAGGCTAGATTACCAAGCTCTGGAGTCCTTCCCCATTCCAGCTCTGAGGAGCTAGCTCTAGGAGTTCCCACCTCAAAGCCAGGCCTTAGGGAAGCCACGACCCAGAGAAGCTGGGTTGCCATTCACGGCCTGATCAAGAACAGGGAACTAACCTAGCCAGAGCACAAGCAGAAACTGCTTTGCACCCATGCAAACAGGTATCCGCACATGTGTTCACACACCGTACCTTTTTATAATTCCCAAGGGAAAACAAACAAACAAACAAACAAACAGTTTAGAAAAATCTATCTTTCCTACCTACCAAAACCATAATGTGCTCACTAAGCTATGACAACAGATTCATCCAGGCCTTAAAGTTTCCTGGTTTTGACTTTACCTTCCTCCAGGTTGATCCTCAAAAAGTCTTCTGAGCATTCCTTTACATTATATAGGTAAATGTTACTACTCTACCTACAGGTTAAGTTCTTGCAACTGGTTCCTAGTTAGTCACCCTCCCCATGACCTCCTCGTCATCATTATAACAGTCTTCCTAAAGCAAACTGGACTGCAGGACTTTAGCTTGATCACACATCTGTACTGGCTCCTTCAGGCTCACAAAGCAACCCAAAATTCATACCAGCACAAGCTGGTCCTCATCAATCCTTGCTTGCCCCTGGTACTGCAGGCTCTGGATAATAGGTACACTTAGTACTCTTTGACAGTCCATAGAGCTCACCATGTCTTGTCCTAGTTCACCTATTCTGAAGTGCATCCCTTGAGGCCCTCTGAGCATTTACTCATTCTTCAAGGCTCACGTTAACATTAGCTTAACACAGCTTTAATGCTGTTGTCTCATAAACCATGCCTCCCTCCCTGGAATACATGATTCTTCTTGGAACTGATGAGGCTTCTCTCTATACCTTAGATTGCATTTAGTTATCATGCTTGAGAATCCCAGCCTGCCTCTTCCTTCTGTGGAATCCCCACAGGCAGAAAGTAGGCTTGATTTATGTCTTTATGCAACCTTGTAAGACCTCCAATGCTGAGAATCTACAATATTTTTACATAATATTTACTAAATTGCTCTAGAATTTAGGGACCACATTTACAGTTCAATACCATTTTTTAAATTGCAATCTAGGCTCAGTAGTTAAGAGCACTTGCTGCTCTTGCATTGGACCCAAGTTTGGTTCCTAGCACCCATATAGTAGCTCAAAACCATCTGTAACTCCAGTTTCATGGCATCCAATGCCCTCTTCTGGCCTGTAGGCATCAAACACACAGGTATTGCACATTCATACATGTAGGCAAAATAGTCATACACATAAAATAAAAACAAATATTTTAAAAACATGTGACTTCTATTAAAATTCTAACCAAAAAGACAGTGACAGATCCGTTTGGAGCCTCGGTTACATACTTACATTCACTAGGAGGGAGAAATCAGTGACCAGATGGCTAAGTTCAATTAAGTCCTTTAAAAAGAGAAAGAGGGAGGAATTACTTACTTTTACATCTCTCAGTTACCAAAAAGAAAATCCATTTAACATACCGCTTCTAAGTTATCCCAGGACTCAGCAGCATTTTGGTCTCGAGGAATTTCAGGCAAGGCATATATCTGAGTCAGACTCTGAGAAGTAGCTTCAGCCTCGGAAACGTGGAGTGCTCCTGGACAGATACAGGCCTGGTTAGAGCTTGCTTCTCAGAGAGGCTAGAGCACAAACTGGCTCCAAAGACAACTGTTGTACAGAATACTTAGAATTCCGCCCTTCAGGCTGAAAGTAAATGACTCAGAATATAAAAACAGCATTATGTACCCCTGGGCAGCCTGTTCTCTAAGTGAGTTAATGGAAAGGCACCAAGCAAGACCTATACATGCTCTTCATGCAACTGAGTGGCAAGGGTTAGAGGTGGAGGAGGTAGCAATGGGAGCCACTCCACTTGGTCAGCATTCCTAAGACACAGCAGCAGCACCAATCTAACATGTTCTGCTGCTAAATCCTCAGGCTTGGCCTTAGCTATTTTAGTAACAAGGATCAGATACAACAGGTGTCAGAAGCAGGACAGTGGGGTCGGTGAGATGGCTCAGCAGGTAAAACACTTGAGTTCAATCCTGGAACCCACATAGAGATGAAGGAGAGAACAGATATCACAAAGTTGGCCTTTGACTTACACACACACACACACACACACACACACACTCACACATTACACACACAATAATAAATAAATAAACATATCATTTGAAAATAGGAAAGTAGGCTGGAATTTATACAGAAGGGCACTTCAGTGTACTAGTAAAGAAGGAAAGTGATGTAGTTATGTGCTTGTAGCAATTAACGTCAGTCTCTACTGGTGACAATCTCATCAGCAATGAGCACATTTGCCATATGAATATTTTTGTACATGTAACTCTGCTTAGATTCATTCTTCCACATACTTCCATGGTTTCTCTACTTCTAGTTTTTAAAAACTTTCAACACACCAAAAACTATTTATTAAACATCACTATAATAACAAAGCAATATACACTACAAACATCTACCTTCAAGTCTTTCTGGGTCTTCATACTGGTTTTACCAATCTTTCATTCATGAAATTGACACTTGTTGCATGCCTATCAGAGACACAACAGTAGGCTATAAACCCATCCTGAAGTGGCAACACCACAGGGCTCAGTTCTGCGGCTCTGGTCAGAAAAAGCACTGTGAGAATCCTGGGTTGCTGGCTTGCTGTTCCTATTTGTAAAGTAAGTTACTGTTTACTTTGCATAGAACCTGGCCCTGCTGCTGCCACTGCTACTGTTGCTGACATGGACAGAGCTTCCATGGAATCTGTGGTACAGAAATGTAACAGTCAAGTCAGTCAGTATTATCTGACAAGACTATGCCATAGGTGAGTATGATGTACATAAGTGTAAGCCCGACATCAAATCCTGACATGTGGAGAGAGAGTAGTCAGGGGTTCTGAGGCTGAAGCCCGAGGATGAGAGAAAATAAGCCAGGTGGAGTGGGGTAAGGGTACAGGGAGATGCCTGGAGTTTCTAACTCAAGGAGAGCAATGTGTGCAGAAGCTTGAAACGGAAAGACATTCAGTCTAGCTGATGCACAGACTGTAGTGAAGAAAAACGCAAAGGTTGAGGCTGACAGCCTAAGGTGAGATTACTTGGGGGCATCAAAAAGCTTTTCCAAGAGCTGTGTCTTTCTCACATGATCACTACCAAACAAATAAAAGGAATTAGAGACTACTGGGAAGTTGGAAGGTGCCATAATCAGACCTTAGCCATAGTGTGAAGAACATGTTAAGGATAAAGTTGACAGGTGAGAGTGAAAACCCAGCTAGGAGGCTTTACAATCTATCCAGTGCAAACAAAATGGTGATCTCCAGCTCTAGAGCAGTGACAGTGGAGATGCAGAGGACATCAGAAGCTCTGCTCTCTCCTTTAAACTCAAAACGCCTGCAGTCTTCCATTACCATCTTTTTAAATTATGCTTTATTTATTTATTGTGTGTGGACATGCATGTGTCTGTGCCACGATGCACATGTGGAGGTCAGAGGACAAATTGATAGAGTAGGAGAAGGTTCTCGCCTATGTAGGTCTCAGGGATCAGACTCAGGTCTTGGTGATAGGCACCTTTAACTGCTAAGCCATCTCACTGGTCCAACTTTAACATTATATGTCGTCATTAGTACAATGGATGAAAACATGACTAATACAGAGTATTACTCTCAAAGAACCTACATTCTAGAAGAATTAGACATACAAAAGGGTGATCATAAAAAAAGGGGGAGACTGCATTAGAGAAAAGGAGACAGAATTTGTAGGGAGTTCTAATCTAGCTTGATGTGGCAGATAGTTCAGACTTTCTGGAAAAGGTGACATTACTCGGCAAAGAAGAGAGGAATATAAATGCCAGATGGAGAAAGCAGCATGAGCAAAGACCTCCAGAGAGAAGTAATACAGCTAAGATGCCATCAGCAGCTGGCATTATCAAGCATGAATGGAAAGACAGAGGTGCAGGTGTGAAGACACTGTAAGCGAGGAGGGGGCCTTTCTCAACAGGTAAGGACTCTATGTGGCAGGCAGCAGAAGGCTGCTGAAGCCTTACAAGCCTGTTAGGAAATGACATGATGACTTGTGACCTGACCTACTCCTGAGTCAGTCATTATGAAACTATATTAATTCTTATTTCCTTTCTGTTCTTTTTTTTTTCCCAGCCAAGCCTAAAGACAAATGATACTTTATAAAACTGTGTGGTTAGTTATCTTCAAAGTTAATGAACACTTTATTCTTAAGATAAAAGCTTATTTGACCTGACCAGGAAGGACATAATCAGCTGAACAAAAAATGGCAATGCAGACATCAGAATTCATAGCAGCTATTTTTCAATTCTAAACTTGATTTATTTGAAAAATATATATATATTTCTGCTGAGATTCTAGGAGTGTCACATTGTCCATATAGACTAAGGTTTTTCTTAATATGCTTCTTAAAAGAATATTTTTATTTATTCTTTGTCAACAATATATCTTGATCATGCCCAACCCAAGGTCCCCTTCTACTCTGCCTGGAACCTCCAATACTCCCCCTTCCCATCTTCCTGTCCTCTTTTTCTTTTCTTTTTTTTTTTTAATATTAGTGCCATCTGTATTGTCTATGTTTTTATCTTAAAGGAAAAAAATCAGACACAGAGTACATTTTATAACATTATAGTAAAGAGCCAATCTTGAAAGCTTTCAATTATTTTTTTCAAATGCTTGAAATATTTTAATTTTCACTTCAGTCAAGATAAATGAATGAACTATGACTTCTTCTTCACTTCACATTCCATGTAACTTCCTGATCAGCATCAGACAGAACAGAGGCAGAGCTCTAACTGTGTGCACTCTAAAGATCTTAAGTCATAACCTACATACTATCAAAGAAGATGCAAGTAAAATAGGCAGGGTCTATAAAACAAGATAAGATTATAATATATAAATGCTTTATCTAAAAAAAATAGGGATGGGAATTATCTGACATTTTAAACATAAAAGATTTCGGTCAGTACAAAAAAGAAATGATTAGGTCATTTCCATCTCACTTGAAACCAAACTACGTATGTGTCTCAGTTACAACAAAGATGTCCTTTCTTTTCCATGTAAAACCTTGTTGTTAATTTACAACTCTGAACATCACAAATCAATTCAAGGCATGACTGTCAAGAAAGAACTCTTTTAATTTCTACAACCTCTGCAATTCACTTACTTCAACTTGTACCTTAGTGCTCATCCTGACTATGAACTCTTACAAACTTGTAAAGGGTGTGTGTGTGTGTGTGTGTGTGTGTGTGTGGTGTGTATGTACATGAGTGTGTGGTGTGTGTATATTTGAGTGTGTGTAATAGGTGTGTGGTGTATGTATGTGGTATGTGTGAGTGTGTGTGTTTTCTAACCCTACAACTGGATATAAAGGCTTATAACTGGCTATACATTCAAATAAACCTAAGACGGTTAACTCCCCATGGCTGAAGTGATAAATAAGCTATGTTAGTAAATAACAATGTTCTGCCCTCTCTTTTCCTTTGTACCTTGTGAACTGCAAAGATTCTACCAGGAAGTACAGCCCAATACATGAGAAATCTCCACTAACCTTCACAACGTTAGTAGTGTTTCTCTACAAAACTAAATAAATTCAAAGGCATTCCTTAAACTTTTCAAGTTTAAGGAATCAATGAAATTAATTTTCTGATCATATTGAACATAAACCTATCTATCAAAATAAAATGACTTCTAAGTCACAACTTGACGCAGAAGAGGATTTTGAGAATAAAATCAATGGGATATGGATCTTCTGAATACTATCAGACAAAAACAGCTCTGTGCTCTGCAGAACCATTCAGTGCACACATACACTGAAGGTAAAAATCCAGTATTGCTTCAAATTCTATAGGCTGGTCTGAAGTTACCAGCAGCTTTAAGATTGAGATCTTTTCTTCTGAGAGTATTTGTTGAAAATAGACTAAGATTCTCTTCCTGCTGTGTTGCTGAAGGGGATGCCCTGGATGTGGGGATGGGGGAAGACAGACAGGAACTGCAGAGAAGCGACTTCACCCCAAATGGCATGGACCTCCATTCTGAATGCAAATCACATGGATGGGCCCATCATTTCTCTTGATAGGGAGCAATGAGAAGGAAATCAAAGTCACCCCACAAGGAGACACAAGGGAGCTTCTCGTATCAAGCAGGATTAGCAGAGTTGACTTTTGGAACTCAGAATCTGGAAAAAAGATACAGCAACACTCACAGCTTCCTCCTAAACTCCCTTCATTTTCTTGAGAACATAAGATGCCCTATTCTACTCATTATTTCTATGTGTAAATAGAAACTATTTTTGTATTTTTGATTTCACTTACGGAAATGTGGCAAGATTGCTGCTGAATCTGTTTCCAACCAATGTATTTAGAATCCGATTTAGAAAGAAGAAAGAATTTTAAGACATTTAACTTCCACGCAAACAGCACACATTTCTCTGTATAGGCTGTCATTACTATAACGGGTATGCAAAGCAAAAGTACGGAGAAACTAGAGCACACAGATTAAAACACGCTGAGTGACAGAAGAGTCCATAGTCTGTAGGCAGCCACAGCACATGCCCAATCCTGTCCACCTCAGAAGCCTGTGAAAGTTTGTTCCTCGTGTTCTTCCCATTATCCTCCTTTGTTAGTAACGTTTCTGCATACAAGGCAACTAAGTACAGGCTTACTCTGCGACCTCGGGTGCTGGTCAGACCCTGCTTTCCATGCACAGTGGACTTGGGGTCAAGAGCAAGCAGTCAGAAATTGAACTCTCCACTCTGTGTTAGCTATACCTTAGCTTTGTGGCTTTACAAACAGAATGACTGCCTTCATCATATCAGCACTGTGTTCTCCAGTGGCAAGCATTAGATGTTTAGATTATCTGATAGTCCATGAATTGAGGTTCGAGAGAATCGATATAGTTTAAAATTAATTTCACATGCTGTTTCTTCCCCCTCATCCTGTCTCCATCCTAATTTTTTTTTTATTTCTTTAATATATACACTTCCTCTGATTCTGCCAAGTCTCAGGTTTCACACTAGCCTTATGTTTATAGTGAAGGGTAATTGGCATGAAAAGGGTAACCAGGTAACTCCCCAGTGACATATACTCAACCATGTTGGCCATAAATAGTTCTGCTTGGATAAATGCATACAATGCAATGTCAAAATGCAAATTAAAGCAATTATTATGTTACTATTGTGAGAAAAGTCCTGGATGAATTTAAGTATTTTGCTTCAGATAAAAACACTAGTGATGGGCCACTTGAAGTTAAAGAGGAGGAGATTGACACCAGCTACTCTTTCCAGAAAATCCTATTATCTTCACTGTTACTACTGCCATCATTGCCAAATGTCTAGGTATAGAAGGCAGTCCATTAACACATGGAAGTAGAAAGCCCAGTCTCTAGCTATGCACAAAAGGCATCAGCTCATACTCTGTGGTAGGAGTAGCCTTCCTCTGCACCAATATGGTGGTGATAATCATAGAACTGTGCAAACAGTAACAACAAACTACCAAAAAGCACGACCCCCAAATGTTCTTTAAGAGCTGAGCACTAACATTTTAGCACTGGCTATGCAGAGAAGTGACTAGAGTACTTTTTTGTTTGGTTGGTTGGTTGGTTTAGTCTTATAAGAAAAGGCTCGCTTGTGTACCCAGGATGGCCTTGAACTCTCAATTGCTCACCCTAGTCCAACTTCCTAAGTGCTGGGATTACAGGTATGTAGCATATCTGAAATGACAAAATTGTCTCTAATATATATTTGCTTATTTGTTTTTTATTTATAATACATCTATGAACAGTTCAATATGTGTAAATCACTGTGTAATGTTACCCAGAAACTCTGCTAGGCAGCCTAAATATTTCTGCATTCCCTTGCAAAGTACTGAATCATTAGCAGTGAACATGTATACATTTTAAATAATCTAAATTTAGAGATAAGGAGTGGAAACAAGAGTGCCCCGGTAGATAATAAAGGAAATCTGGCCAGGTACAGTATCCCTAAGTTTCCATTTTAATTTCTAATTGATTTGTAGCCCATATTTTTCATAAGGATTAAAGTCTCTTAACAGATATAAAATGTAAGGAAATGGAATAAATTAAAAGTAAAAGATAAACAATTATAACAGAAAAAGAAACAAGGTCAGTAGTTATAAAATAAAGCCAACATACTTTACAAGTTTAGTTTTTGAGGAATAAAAAATTTGACTTTAAGCTTTCTAGGAGATAACTCAATTATAGAAACCTTATTAGTTATTCTACTCACTACTTATAAGATTTAAATCTAAGCCAAACTATCCAACAAAACAAAAAACAGCTACTTTGAAGTATTAAGATATATTAAGATAATTTTTTTCTGCATAAAAGATACTAGTACAGTGTCATCTAGGATTATCAAATACATCCTTAGAAATGATATAACACTGTGTTCATAAGGCTGTTTCTTAGAATATTACTTCACAAAAGTTGACACCATGATCCCACCATAAATTTTTCATTTGTTAGTTAAATTCAGAGAATGGAGAGTGGAGAGAGACCTAACAAGTATGTGAAGCCATAAAAGAACAGTCTAAAAGAACAGCTCCCAAACATGTTGTAAAATAGTGAAAGATGTGTTATATTTGTTTATGCTGTGGAATATTTGTTTAATCATGCAAAGGTATGTTGCATTCTTTAGGCTGCATTTGTTTAACTCTGTGAAGCTGTTATTACTTGACTGTTTAATACACCTGATGGTCTGATAAAGAGCTGAATGGCCAATAGCTAGACTAGATAAAGGATAGGTGGGGCTGCCAAGCAGAGAGACTAAACAGAAGAGTGAGGAGTGAGAGAAGGAGGAGAGGAGGATGCGAGGGGCCAGCCACCCAGCCATACAGCCTGACACAGAATAAGAAGGAAAGAAAAGATATACAGAAATAGAGAAAGGTAAAAGCCCAAAGGCAAAAGGTAGACAGGATAATTTAAGTTAAGAAAAGCTGATGAGAAATAAGCCAAGCAAAGGCAGGGCATTTATAAATAAGAATAAGACTCCATGTATTTATTTAGGAGCTGGGTGGCAGGTCCTCTAAAGAGCAAAGAGTTAAAACAACCAACTACATAAACAGCTTGCCCCTGCACTGGAGAGGAGAGAGGTGCACATCTCATACAAGGACAATATTATCTTTAGTAGTAACTTTAACTTTTCTTTTCAATATATGGGCAAGCAGGTACTTGAAGCCCCCAAGTTCCAATCCACACAATTTTATCTTGCAAAATTTCCAGGGTACACATATCTGGTCTGTTTGGGATTGGCCAGCAGACTCATGGGGACATACAAGGCCTCTCTTTGTTCTACCTGAGAATAGGGGCTTTAGCTATCAGCACTACTAGTATCAAGAATAAGACATGTGTTACCACCAACAGTCGTGGATCTGGTGAGAGAAGACTGTGATAAGGCTTCTTCCTCATTAAATTGCTTCTTGAGCTCTTCAACAGACTCCAGATGGAGCTGGAGAAACTCTGCTGTGGCCGCTGCTGCTGCTTCCTTCACAGGATCGATCATCCTCTTCAGAAGAACCAGGTCATCCTTGTGGACTTTCAAGCAAAGCTTTTCCATTTCTCGGATATTAGAGCGGAGTTGCTATAAATGAAAAAAAGAAACATTACCAGTGCCATCTCTCCATATAAGACCTAATTCTTTTCAGAATAATTTGCTACAATGATTATGAATGCAAATTAGTGCATATTGTCTACCATGGGGCATTTTTCAATTTCCCACATCTCTTGGCTGGCCAAATCCAACATATTTAGAATCCATGCCCTCAAACTTTGAATTTATATAGTAATTTTTCCTTTATTGCATGTGACTACTATGCTGTAAATGCTGTACAACTAGCATTTAGCTTATGGGGCACATATAGAACTAAAATATTCTAAGGACCCATATGCTCTATATGGCTAAGTCACAGATATATTCTATAATTTCTAATAAAAGTAACAATTCCAAAATGAGTAAGGTAAAAAATGGAAATGAAAGAAGAACCAACAGAGCATAAGATAAAAGCATGTAATAGGAGCTAAAAAGATGGCTCAGCAGTTAAGAGCAGTGGCTGCTGCTTCTAGAGGACCCAGGTTCAATTCCCAGCACCCACATGGCAGCTCTCAACCAACTGAAACTCCAGTTCCAGAGGATCTGATGGCTTCTGGCTTCCATGGGCACTGCACACACGTGGTATACAGACATACACTCTATGCTTAAAATAAAAATTAAAATTAAAAAAAGAAAGCAATAATAGAACAAATGATATAGTCAATAATTATATCAAATATAAATTAAACAAATATGCATTATAAATAAAGATTATTTAAAAATGGATAAACAAACAAAAGAGATACATCTAAACATAAATATAAAATGGTTCAAACTAAAAAAATTTTAAAAAGCCACATAAACCTACCATCCTCTCCTAAGAATGACTACAGCAACATTATTATCAGATAAACACACTTTAAAGCCAACACATTACCAGAAATTGAGAATCACTTTATAATAAGATTCTCTTCAGAAATATATAACAACACAGACAGAATATATATCATACAAAAGCTGACAACTACCAATTGTTTTCTTTCTATATGTGTATGTGTGAGTATTCATGTTTGGATGTAGGGAGGGAGCATGTGGTAATGCACATGCATGTGGGGGCACAAATTTGATATCAAGGGTCTTCCTTGGTCGTTCTTCACTTTATTTTCTGAGTCAGGGTCTCTGAATGAACCTGGAGTACACTAATTCCAGCTAGTCTAGCCAGACGGCTTGTTCTAGGCATTCCCTGTCTCTGCCTTCCAAGTACTTTGGTGACAGGTAGCCACCATGCCTGCCTGTCTTTGGTCCTTATGCTTAGGTGGCAAATGTTTTATTCACTGAGCCATCTCCCTAGCCCAAAAATTTTAAATAAATCCACAGTCATAAAGAAAGGTCTTAAAAGCCTCAGTAATTAATAAAGGAAACGGCAAGGGTATGTTAGGTATAGAGTGTCTGAACAAGAAATTTACACAGCTTGATATAAGTTACTTAGAACATTAACCCAACATACAAAATATATACATAAAAAACAATGTTAAAGCAACTTTCACAAATTTCAAAAACATTAACATTATACACAGCATGCACTCTGAGCATAATAAAGTTAAATTTGAAATCATTAACAGAAATATATCTATTGTACATCTAGAAGGAAGAAAGATACTTCTAAATAGTCTGTACATAAAGAAAGAAATCACAATGGAAATTAAAATACTATTGCTTGAATGCAAAGAAAAGTAATACATATTAAAATTTATAGTGCTTCGTAAAACGAGTTTTACGTAGTCCAACTACATATATATTAGCATAGGACTAGGCTGTCTCTAGGGGCTGCCATGATATTCAGCTAGGTAGGCCCTTGTGTTGTTTGATTAAGAATGAACCCCATAAGCTCATATATATGAATGCTTAGTCATCGGGGGGTGGCACTACTTGAGAAGGATTAGGAGGAGTGGCCGAGATGGAAGAAGTGTGCCACTTGGGGTAGGCCTTAAGGTTTTAGAAACCCCAGCAAGGCTCAGTAGCATGCTCCCTCCCTCCTTCCCTCCCTCCCTCCCTCCCTCCCTCCCTCCCTCCCTCCCCCGCCTCTCTCTCTCTTCCTGATGCCTGCAAATTAGGATGTAGAAATCTCAACCTCTCCAGCATCATGTCTGCCTGAGTGCCACCATGCTCCCCACCAAGATGACAATGAACTGATCCCTAATTAAATGCTTTCTCTTATAAAAGTTGCCTTGGTCATGGTGTTTCTTCATAACAATAGAACACTGACTAAGACAGCTTCCTTCCTTTTTCTTCTCTTCTGTCTTTTCCTTTCAGATGCTTGACAGAGCCAACATATGCTTTTAAATTCCCTGACAATTTGGGTTCCCTCATCCATGAACGTCCATCCTCTGACCCTCAGGCTGGCTTTTTTCTCTACTCTAGGCCTCCCCTCCATGCAGCTGACATACACAGCTTTCCCTGGACTTTTCTTTTATTTGAAAAACAAGAAAAGAATGGCTAGAAATTAGCAAGCTAAATATCCATCTCAAGAACCTACAAGAAAATACAAAAACAAAGGCAAATATAAAAAGGAGAAAATTACAAAGATGTGAATAAACTTAATAAGACAAAGAAACAGGTACACAACAGACTAACAAAGCCAAAACTGTTTTTGGAAAGAGTAAAAAAACTGATAAGCTTCACAAAAGTAGTTTTAAAAACAGACACAAATAACCTAAATCATAAACAAGGAGGCATCACTACAAATCTTAAAGAATTAAAAAGATAATAAGAAATTATGAATAAGCCAGGCAGAGTGGTGCACACCTTTAATCCTAGCACTCAGGAGGCAGAGGCAGATGGATATCTAAATTCAAGACCAGCCTGGTCTACAGTGGGAGTTCCAGGACAACCAGGGCTACACAGAGAAACCTTGTCTTGAAAAACAAACAAAAACCAAACCAAAACAAAAGAGATTATGAATAAATTTATGCCAATAAGTTAGAAAAGTAAGATAAAATGGACAAATTTCTACAAAACTGTAATTTATCAAACTGATGAAAAATCAAAACCTAAATGGTCACATAAACATTAATTTTGTTTTTCTTGTTTTCTGAGATAGGGTCTTATCCAGCCTGGGATAGACTCAATTTTGCTATGGAGCCAAGGCTGGCCTCAAGCTCCTGATCTTCCTGCTTCTACCTCCTGAATGCAGAGACTGTAAGCACTGGTCACTATACCTAGTTACTATTAAACAAATTAAATGTGTATTTTTAAAAATTGTCCTGCCTCTCCTTTCCCCATGGTAAACAACAGTCAACCAAATTGTTTTTAAACAACAGAGCAAAATCAGCAGAAATTGTGTCACTAGTCAGTTTTACCAAATATTTATAAGAAATTATATGAATTCCTCATGGGAATAGTCAAAGACTAGGCCTTGATACCAAAAGTCAACAAGGAAAAGAAACTATCCACAGCAAACTCATGCAGTCTCACAAACAAGGTGCAGAAATCCGAGGGAAATGTAGGAATTCAGTACAGAAACAGTAGTAAGTGAACAGGCCCACTTCAAAAGATGGATCAGGCCCTCTGAATGGATGAGACAGTTGATTGGCTTGATCTGTTTGGGAGGCACCCAGGCAGTGGGACCAGATCTTGTGCTCATTGCATGAGTTGGCTGTTTGAAACCTGGGGCCTATGCAGGATTGTTTGGCTCGGCCTGGGAGGAGGGGACTAGACCTACCTGGACTGAGTCTACCAGGTTGACCTCAGTCTGTGGGGAAGGCTTTGCCCTGGAGGAGATGGGAATGGGGGGGGGGGGGGGGGTTGGGGGGAAGGTGAGGGGGACGGGAGGGGGGGAGAACAAGGGAATCCGTGGCTGATATGTAGAACTGAATTGTATTGCAAAATAAATTAATAAAAAAAAAAAAGTGTAAAAAAAAAAAAAAAAAAAAAAAAAAAAAAAAAAAAAAAAGATGGACTAGAAGATACTGTTACAGGCAACATCAGTAAACAGCAAGGCAGTCTCAAAGACACACTCTGCTTAGTTCAGTCTCTATAATGTTCTAAAACAGGTTGAGTCAAATTGTTGTCTTAAGGAGTCATTTGGTGGCAAATTTAAACAGAGAAGATAGAAAATATTGGCCACAAAAGTCAGGATGGTGATGCCTCTGGTGAAAGGTAATGGTAATCGAGACAAGGCCACAGGGCCTTCTAGAATGCTTGTAGCTATCCATTTTGGTGCACGAGTACCTAAGTATAATTATTTAGGAGTATATTTACAGTGTAAGTAGTCTATAGTACATTTAATATAGTTCAGAGTTGAATGCTTTTAGAAAAGAAATTTACATTGATCTAAGTGATAACCAACCTAAGGATAGATATGGTTGAAAACACCTGTGTAGGGATAAGATGTCGTGGAGGTCTAACTGTGGAGGTAGGTTGAGTTATTAGCCTATGAATCTTTTTTCTTTCATCGGGTGAAAGAAGTAATGAAAGAGACTACTTCTTTGGGATGAATTCCGACCTACCAACATAAAACCATGCTGTAGGGATAAGCCCTGAGAGGCACACATCAGCATAGAGTGACTGATAGATGACAGCAAGAGGAATACTGCAGTTTGTGAGTCCTGGGGAAGTTAATTTTATCAGCTTTGAAGAAAAAGGCTGTATGATGCCACAGCATAAATTACTGTGATAAGGTTTAAGGGGGGGGGGGTATCACCTTCTAAAAAGTGAACTTATGACACTATAAAAGCAAATAAATCCCAAGTGATAAAAGAAAGTCACATCTAAGGAATCAGATATGACTGCAGGGTATGGTATAGGAAATTCAGAATCTTGAGACACTTACCAAAAGGGGGGTGGGGAGGTGGGCGGGGGGAGTCGAGTGAACCCAAGAGTGGTGTGAAACAAGGAGAATCATGCAAGTAAGCGCCCAGAATGAGCGGAGGCTGGTGAAAACGTTAAGAACAATAAGAGGATATAAAAATCTACGTACAACAAGAACAAGAGAGAAGGCTCGGGCCCCTGCTTGGGGCAGATGGTGTAATGCTAACAGATGATGCAGAGAG